ATACAGTATTTCCTAACATCTTCTAGCATCTCACAGCATAGCATAATACCCCTAGGTTTCAAGAACATTTCCAACCAGCCAAGGTGAATCATTCAAGTTCACATCCTTTTGGGCCTACGGGGAATTTCTCAAAACTGGGGTGCTCCATGCGGTGCCAGATTTCTGCAGTCAGGGAGTGGACCGCTCCGTAGGGTTTCATATATGAGCTATAATCTAAACTTTTAGTATCCTGATAAACCCTATAATGATGCCTTATATAACCCCCTACATAACCTCCCTTTAAGGAGTTTATACTACAGCTCATATGGCTTTCTGACATATGGACATATTGGACTCCTGCAACAGGCGGCCTCTCGTGATCTCCGACTTGGTCTCGCCGTTCCTGGAAGGGACTGAAGGAATGGATTCGTGCAACTATCCCCCCAACCAAAACCGAGGATCCCTATATATTTTCTACTTACTTAAGGGAGAACCCTCAACCCTAAACCCTACATAGTAGTTTCCTTTTTTTCCATTATCCCAATATAACCCCTATGTTCCCTTATCTCCTTGAGCCCCGATAGCCCATAGACGGTCCCCTTCCTTAAGTCCCAGCAAGCAAGAGGCAGCCTATGAAGCAGGCCTCACGACTACCAGGCTGCCCTTGGACACGATGAAGAAATGGGTACCTGCCAGCTATCAGCCCTGCATCTCCTCTTCTGTAGGGTTTAACGTTTAGGGTTGAGGGTGAAGGCACGGCAAGGATGAACTGCAAACAGCTTTGAGATTGCCAGCTCGCGCTTTCCAAGGTTTGTGATTGGAACTTAGATATGGGGCCCTGAAGGACATGAGGGATACATGGGAGTTTCACAGGTTCAGGGTTTTGGTGTTTAGGCCCTACCTTGCCCCTGGGCCTCGATAGCTGCCCTGTCGGGAGACCTGCGTGCCGTCAGGGAAGCGGAAGACCTGCCGTCCAGCGTGAGTTTGCAGATGCCGGCTCGTTTTTCTTGAAATTCAACAATGCTCGACATGATGTCTCTCAATATGGTGATGTTACATGTCGATGGTTTCGTTGGACTTGTTTCTGAATTTGGGCCGGTGTCGGTAAGAGGAAGCAGCTTCTGAGGGATTATAATGATGGCAAGCTGAAGAAGTGCATGACATATGGGAGGTTCAACATCAGGGTCTCCCAGGTACCATCATCAAGAAGGCACTGACTGTGGGCCCACCCACCCGCCTGCAGAAATTCACAAACAAAGAAGACAAACAAATCCAAGCCCAAAACCTTAACAAACGAAACAAACAAACCTGAACCCTAAACCCTAAACAAACAAGAAAACAAACGAACGAACAAACGAACATAGAACCCCCAGGCTGATGGAACAAAACAGCAAACCCCCCTTTGGCAAGCCTCCAGGGTCTACTTAAAAGATGGGCTGGATTCTACACAGGGCCCTATACATAGCACATTCTGTAACATGTATCAATGCATCATGAAGAAAACTTTCCTGAAATGCGAAAAAAAGTTTTAGTCAAAAGAACAAAGCCTGTATGAGGCGGGGGCTCAGGTCCAGTTGTTTCTCTTGACTTTCTATGGAATCAAAAGAAACACCGGTAAGGAACTGGAGCTTCCTCTTCTCTCAAATCAGCTGTATCTCTCTCGTATCTTTATTGTGGAGAAAGGATCAAATTCTCAATGTTCCGCTTTCGAGAATTTAAATGGAATTTAACAATTTGTTAACTTCCCTATACTGAAGATTGAAAGATTGAAGATTCTCAGAAAAGTTTTCTTCAAATCTTCAACATTCCCCTTTAGAGAGTTTGAATGAAATTTCAGAATTTATTTTAAATTCCTTACACTGAAGATTGAAGAATCAAGATTCTCAGAAAAGTTGTCCGAGAATCTTGAATCTTCAGTGTCCGGAATTTAACATAAATCCTAAATTCCATTTGAATTCTCCAGATAGGAACATTGAAGATTTGAAGAAAACTTCTGAGAGTTTCGAACCTTCAACCTTCAGTGTAGGGAATTTAGAATAAATTCTGAAATTCCATTTAAATTCTCTCAAGGGGAACATTGAAGATTTGAAGAAAACTTTTCTGAGAATCTTCAATCTTCAGTGTATGGAATTTGGAGCAAATTCTCAATTTCCATTTAACTTCTCGAAAGGTAAACATTGAAAACATGGAGATAGCCATTAGGTGGTTCCCCGAAACTCTGCTCCGAAAAAATCATTGGGATTGGGCTTCCTAAAGATGGCACCATAAAGTTAGTTCAGAACCCCTTTCTGTGGTCTTTGGACTGTAGAAACAGCGTGGCAGCAAAGAGCATGCAAGAATTGAGATCTCTGTCAAGTTGTCTCATTGCCACCATGAGGAAGGTTTGGGCTTCGTGTCAACACCTGTCCACTGGTTACATCACGGGTCTTTCGACTAGAACATCCGACGGAGCAAACTTTTCCAGAAGTCGCTCTGCAAGGCCTTTACGAAAAGAAAAAATATGTCGTAATGGGCCTCCATGGCCGCTATGAGCTTCTGTAAGGTCTCCTGGTCAACGTCCTTGAAGTACAGGAGCTTCCTGCGACGGGGCTTGTCAAATTCCATTCTGACTGCCCGCCCTGTCAGAGCACATCAGCTGTAGTCAGCGGATCAACGGCTTGCGACCACTCCTCGCAGCCGCCTTGCTTTTATAAACGATACTGCGCTAGAACACACGCTTTCGGCTCTACATGCAATTGTGTTGACTTGAGGGCCGTTGCTGCGTCTCCAGGAACATTGTCTGTTCTGCCCGTGCTGAGGCCCAGCAACTGCCCAAAAGAAACAGGGCTGCAAACTCGCCGTCTGCATTCCTGCTCGGAATTTAAGTCATTCAGGCATTGACCACGGCATGCAGAACGTGGGCGGGACGTTGGTCCCCAGTATGAGCGTTTCGTAAAACATCCTTTCTCATCCCCACCGTAATCATGTATACTGTATACTCCACACATATTTTCACCTCTCAAAAAGTGCTGAGTCTCTAGACCCTAAACCATTCGCCGAAACCGGAATCCCAAACCCTAAACTCTACATGCCCTATACCCTCGCTACTGTTCAGAAGCTTTCTTCGGAGCCTGCCAATCTGCCCACGCTGAACTTAATTGCGTCAATTCAGGAGTTTCTCAAAAAGGGGGCGTTCGGCTCCCGAGGGATATCACGGAATTACGAAGGGATCATGGTGGTGTCAATGCCGGGGGGGGGCTTAATTCCAGATAATTTTGAGAAACTCCACATTTAATTATCTTTACTGTCCTTGTTCCGAGTCCCTCCACGCGCAATATGTGAGCTTGAACAAAACTCAGAATTCTTCACCGTACCAGTCCAACTAACAAACCTGCATGACATTACCGATGACGTCATCACGGCACAAACAGGGGCATCGCATTAGGAACGCCCATAAAAAAAGGCTCAACAAACATCTGCATAAAAGTCATCACAATTCTTTCACCATCCACATGAAATCCATATGCAGCCATCTACATCATAAAGCAATTGCCATCAGTTTAGGCTAATATTGTGTACCTTGTTTCAAAATAACGGTCCCAACTTCCAGGCGGCGGGTCATAAAGTTGACTCATCAAATGGGCCACGCCTCTGCTATCACGAAAACCCCTGTGTACAAGCCCAGGAAAGCCAGGCAAAACCTCAACCCAAACCTAAAAACTCCGAACCTTACGAGCCTAAACCCAGCCAGGTTCACGTCTTACTGCCAGCGTTGGGGGGCTGCACTTCCCTCAAGGACTTATCCAGCGCTCACAGTAACATCTTCACTCCAGCGCCTCCCAATTACGTTAGGGTTTAGGCGTTAGATGTTTTTTGGGTTTAGGGTTTAGGGACGCCGGGGAATGAAGGGATCTGAGGGGATTCTAAGGTTCTCCTGAATGATTATTAAGGATGGTTTTGGAAACTCCCATTTACATTTGAAGCATATGGCACGTGGCTGTAGCTGGGTCCTTTCCAGGCTATTTAGGCCTACTATATGGCGGTTCGATGTGCAGGATGGTCACCAGTGAGAATCGGATTGTGGGTGGCATAAAGGCATCTGACCAAAATTGACAATGATAGTTAAAGAGGGCAGTCGAGTATTGCGGTCTGAGCATGGATGCTTTATTCTCCAAGCTTGCGCACTTTCAAAGGTGAGGTCCAAGCACTGGCTTCAGTCATGTTTCGAGTCGCCTCTCACCCCAAAACGGCCCCTGCTAGATGCTGCCCCTGTCAGCAAATGCGCAGCCTTACAAAAAGACTATAACGACGACATGAAAAGATGATAAACAACTTCGGGTGTTGTAGGTTATTGCTGCTGGTGTTGGTGAAAAAACGTCGCAGCAGCAGCAGCAGCGGCGGCGGCGGCGGCGGCGGCGGCGGCGGCAGCGGCAGCCGACGAAGTGGATGTAATTATCAGCCAAGGCGGTAGCGGTAGTTACAGCAGCAGTGGGTGGCGGCAGCGCTGTCGCTGTGGCGCAGGTAGTGGCAATGAAGTAATTAGCGGCAACGTGCCTCTGAATCTCAGGGAGCTCCAGGCACTTCTGCAACCTGTTGGCTGCAATAGATCATTGGGGTTGGCCTGCTAGCTTCCAGCCGGCTTTCCTGCAGCAGTGTATTTGAAGTGCCTAGCCTCCCCGTGATCCTTAAAAGAGAGGGCCTATAAATATCAGTGGTAAATCAAAAGTCAACCAAAACTTAAGAGATCTTAAGAGGGTTTGGGCATGTTTATCCAACCCCTTACCCCCAACCCACAAATGCCCGTAGGATCGAGACATGGCAACTTTTCAGAACCATGGGCACTGTTTGAGCCTTCACACAAAAGACTGCCCAGTAGGGACGAAAACGAGCAACCTTTCGGGCGGCAGCGTGCCGTTGCGCAAGTCCCGCCGCTGCCGGCTTAGCCTGGCTTGAGGGATCGGAAAAGAGCTGACAAGTTCTGGGCATGCAGGGCATCAAGGGCTTAGGGTTTAGGGGACTACCTTGATTCCATGGACACAGAATCAGTGATGGCCAATAGAACAAGAAGAAAATGCCCATGTCAGCCACAGCATCCAGTTGTACAAGCGCTTCTCAATCGCATCGCTGGAACCTTGCGCTGTTCACAAACTTCAGGCTGAACTGTAGTCAAATGAATCGCAGGGTTTCTCTCTGTTTGCCCAGCCCCATTACAGCATTCTAAGGACGCACAGTCCAATTATTCATCAAGACTGCCCTCGTAAAGCTCCAACATACTACCCTCCGCATATAGGGATAGCAATGCACACGAGAGCCCAACCCAACGTTGGAAATCCCTCGAATCTCCTCATGCGGCAAGCTCTTGGCTCAGCTGGGGCGCGGTAAAGCGGCCATTGTCCCTGGTGTTCTATGAGAAATCTCTTTAACCGCTGCAGGTTACCATCGAAGATTTCCTGGCGCAGAGTTTGGCATGTTGCTCCAAATCCACTTCAGTGCAGTAGATAACGGCTGGGGGGGGCGTCCAAGTCCGCTACTGTGAATCACAGGCACAGTCCTGAAGCGGTCGGGCAGTGGATCGTCTGCCAGGAAGGGCCCTCCCCTGTTCGTTCTCTAGGCGAAGTGACAAGACCTGCTCCAAAACAGCATGCGCATGTCGTGCCGCCCGACTACCTGTAATTACCAACAGTCTTTGCCTATCCTGTGAACTCAAACCCGAACGAGCACCACAGTCCTCGCTTCGCTGTGTGCTAGACGACGGCCGAAGAGAGTTCTCCTTCTTACTCTTGGTCGTGTGGGCTGGCTCCTGTTTGGAAACTACTTAGCACAGGGAATTTGAGCATGGACTTTTTTTGCACAAGGGTGTGCTATTGCGTAAGCAAACATGGACTCGCCAGTACACCTCAGGAACGACAACCAAAGGTGTACTGCACATGTCGGTTAACAGTGTCTGGGTGATTTTGGGTTATACTACTGAAGGACTCGCTTTTATTCGCCATGGGTTCCTATATACTACTCCTTTGCATAGTGGCCCAACTGTATTGCAAGGAACACCACAGAACCGCCTGAAATAGACCCAACACAAACATGGGGAAGCCACCGCCCCCTCTTTTCAGCACCTGTTTAACCAGTTACCTGGAGGAAAATGCCATACTCAGAGGATGTCTTTGCCTGACACATGCAGCCTATTCCTGACCCAAAGCTTTTGCCACCACCTATACGGTTCGGGTTTGGGATTTAGGGTCCCGTCTGAAAACCCCTACTTAGCCAAAGTGTCCATTTCATTCTCCATTTTCTTGTGAAATATGATTCTCTAATTATTGAGGGTCCCTGGACCCTAATCCCTAAACCCGAAACCCTCGAACCATAAACTCAGAGCCTTCTCTTCAGATGCCTTCTCTTTGATCTTCTGAGTCGCTTCCTTCTCGGACGCCTCTCTTTGAACCGGCATCTCACCAGTCACGTTGTCAGCGCTGTGAGCGTCTGTGACCTCAGACAAGGCAGCTGAAGGTTGCAAAGCGCGGCCTTCAACGCGATTTCCATGCTGTTTATCACAGGAGTCTGGGTAATGTAGACCCCTGATT